AACATTACCTGGTGAACAAATTACAAATTATGTTGTTGTGTGGTCCTAAGTTATTATCAACTTATGGCAACTCTAAGGTACATCTATTATAGGCTTTTCTTGGCAGAGGAGGTTTGCCTTTACCTTCCTCTTAGGCTGAGATGCTTGCCCATAGTAAGACCCAATATGTTTCCAGGGCTGAGTGGGGATTCAAAGCCTTGTCTCCAGGTTCTTAGCCCAATACTCAAACCACTGCACCATGCTGGCTCAGAATTACAAATAGTTTGTTCCAAAAATGGAAAAAATGATTCTTAGTAGTTTTCTTTTTAAAAATCATTCCTCCCAGCTAAAGTTGTCATTCTAACATTTTCAGTTGCTCACTAGAACTTGTAAAAGTCTGTCAGGTGGCACCCCTTACAAGAAAGAGGTTGAAATAAAACTATTACTGGTAAAGAAGACAAAGTGTATATTGAGAGACCTGGAGAAGAACAAAGACAGAGATTGTTTCCTCATCAGCCCTTTCTAATTTTAATTAGGGCTATTCATAGTGGGGGAAGATTTCAAATTTTCCAGAGGAAATGTCTGGTTTTTCCACAGTTCTCATTAGCTCCCCTCCCTCTACTCCCTAACCATCTTCATTTTTTTTTTTGCTTTGATTTAGATTGAAAACACTGACATGCACAAAAATAAATAAAATAAATCTAAATTCTGCACAATTAACATGCTGAACAAATGCTTCTGTGGTCCCATGGGATTTTTCAAGTAATGCAAAACGTCATTACACTGTGAGATACAAAAGCTGAAGCTTGCTAATGTTAAAGAAACCTGTGTTCTTTGAAGTCTGGAAACACTGAATCTTGTTGTCAGTCAGGGATTTTTCTTCCCAAGGCTCTCCTGTTAGAACAAAAGGAGAGACCAGCATTCCTCCCCTCCACCCCCGTTCTCAATTTATTTCAGGGAATCTATTAGCTTTTGTGTAGAAGCTTCAGCCACTGGCACAATTGGCCTGCCATTTTGACTGGCTGCATTAAGATGCATTTATCTGTTGCCTAGTGTCTCAAATTTTCTCTTCTATCCGCTCCCTCCCTCTGTTTTCCAAACATCATCTCACTTCCATAATTCAGCTGTCAAAAGATGCTTCCAGCTCCTCCAGGCTTTTGGTGCTGTATCTCAGAAACAGAGTCTGCCTCTGTACAAGAAAATAAATCCTTGTACACACACCAGAGACATGAATAGGATATGTGAAACATTAAAATGGAGGATAATGTCCATTCCCCTGCAGCAGTGCTCAGATTTGAAGGATTTGAAAAGCATCCTTTAGCTTTTAAATAAAATAATAATAATAATAATAATAATAATAATAATAATAATAATAATAATATTTCTACCCCACATTTTGCCGTAGCAATCAAGGTGGCTTACAGCTAAAAACAGATTCAAACGCCGACAATTAACAATAATACACCCCTATTAAAAATATATTAAATACAGTCTCTGTTAAAACCAATTTAAAACAAAAAACAAATTTAAACAAAGACAAACAACAAGTTGGCTCAATTAAACTATCGACACTCTGGGGCAGCAGGAATGGAGAAGAGGAGAGCATCTTGTGGGGAGAAACCAAATTTAAAGGTGATTCTATGGCAGATAGGCCTGCCGGAAGAGATCTATCTTGATGCCTTTTTTAAAGCCATCTAAGTTAGTTATCTGATGGATCTCTTCCTGCAAGGCGTTCCAGAGTCTGGGAGCGGTAACAGAAAATGTCCTCTTGGAGGTCGCCGTCAATCAAGTTCTTGTCGGTTGAAGACGCTTCCTCCCAGAGGACCTGAGGGTGCGGGGCGGATTAGATGGAGAAGGCGATCCTTAAGGTAAGTTGGGCCCAGGCCATGTAGGGCTTTAAAGGTCGTCACCAACACCTTATATTGTGCTTGGAAACTAATGGGCAGCCAGTGAAGAGATCTTAAAATCGGTGTAATATGATCACTTCTAGATGTTCCGGTGATCAGCCTGGCTGCCATATTTTGTAATAATTGAAGTTTCCAAATTAGGTATAAAGGTAGCCCCATGTAAAGTGCATTACAGAAGTCGAGTTGTGAGGTTACCAGGGCATGTACTACAGTTTCTAGATCCCTTACTTCCAGGAATGGGCACAGTTGGCGTATCAGCCGAAGCTGATAGCAGGCATCCCTAACTGTCACATTCACCTGATCTATTATGTGAAGCAACGAGTCTAGAAGCACCCCCAGACTGCGGACACAATCCTTAACAGAGAGTGTGACTCCATCCAGGTTTGGGGGCCCCCACTGTAAGTACCTCCATTTTGTCCAGATTCAGCTTGAGTCGGGTTTTCCTCATGCAGTCCATTACAGCTTTGAGACATTGATTGAGGGGAGAACCGCCATCTACCATCATGGCAGTTGACCAAGACATGGAGCAGAATATTTGGGTGTCATCAGCATATTGCTAACACCCTGCTCCATGTCTCCTGATGATCTCTCCCAGCGGCTTCATGCAGATGTTAAACAACATTGGGACAGGATGGAACACCACATTTTAGCTCCGCATTTGAGGAGCAGCTGTCCCCGAGTGCCACCCTTTGGAACCTGCCTGAGAGAAAAGAGCGGAACCACTGAAGAACAGTGCCTCCCACTCCCAGCTCCCTCAGGCAGACCAGAAGGATGCCATGATCTATTGCAGGGGTAGGCAACCTTTCCCCTTTAAGGGCCGAGGGACTTCAGCTCCCAGAAGCCTCAGCCAAGTTGGCCAATAGTCCCATGTTGGCCAATAGCTCCTGGGATTCTGGGAGCTGAAGTCCCTTGGCCCTTAAAGGGGAAAGGTTGCCTACCCCTGATCTATTGTATCGAAAGCAGCTGAGAGGTCTAAAAGCACCGAGTCACGCTTCCCCTGTTGGTGCTAAGACACAGGTCGTCTACCAGAGCGACCATGGCTGCTTCCACCCTATATCCAGGTCTGAAACCAGTTTGAAATGGATCTAGAAAATCAGTTTCGTCCAAGATTGCTTTTTGCTTTTTTTCTAATTAAAAGAGATATGTTACACTTCCTTTAACTAATCTTTTTTTTCTTGACAGCTTCCTGAACTGTTTTCATAGAAGAGCAAAAATATTGTTAATGATTAAACAGTTCTTAAGATAGTCTAGATGTTTTGGACTTCACTTCCCAGAATTCCTGGTCACTGTCCAAGCTGGCTAGGGCTTCTAGGAGCTGAAGTCCAAAATACCTGTGGGATCAAAGTTTCACTGTTCCAAAGGATATTCCCTGCCCCACTGCTCAGCTATGAGATTTTAATTAGCTAAAATTGATTATTAAAATTTAAGAAATAGTTTGGGTGATTTTGTTAAAAAAAAATGATAGACTTGGAAATATTATGTTTCCTTATAGACACCAGCAAATGGCGGGGCTTTGGTTGGGCTATTTCTTCACTTGTAATGCATGCAGTATAGCATCTTATGTTGCATCAACATTAGGAAAGAAAGTGTAACTATGTAGGCAGTGGGAGAAAATCATCTGTGTCCACCATTATTTGAAAGCATTTTAAATTAATTCTTTATATTTAATTTTAAATATGAACTAAAGCCCCTTTTTGTTTAGTCACTGTTGCAAACTACAATATGATATTTTAAAAATAATCCCTCATTGACTTTCCTCATAGTCCCTATTTGCATTTGTGTTATGGTTACAACATAATGTTAGCGACGTCTTCATTGTGATGCATGGTGCACAAGGAATCAGAAATCCAGCTAATACAATGTGTGTATGTGGTGTCTTCAGGTAATTTCTGATTTATGGCAACCCTAAGGCTAAACTATCATGGGGTTTTCTTGTCAAGATTTAATCAGAGGAGGATTTCCATTGCCTTCACCTTAGGCTGTGACTTGTTCATGTTCATCCAGTGGGTTTCATGGCCAAGCTGGGAACTGAATCCTGGTTTCCAGAGTCATAGTCCAATATTCAAACCACACATTAGTTGAAGTACATAAAGTTTTGTTTCAGATCAGCAGATGCATATGATGCTATAACTAGCACTCTTCCAATCGACTGACAGAGCAACAGGGAAGGAATTTCTTTTAACACTCATTAAAGAAGCACCAGATTCCATCTGATCCTAGAAGCTAAGCAAGGTCAGCCCTGGTTAATACCAATGAACACCAGCTGCAGTAGGTTATATTTCAGAGGAAGAAACTGGCAAAACAACCTCTGAGGATTCCTTGCCTAGGAAAATCCTATGAAGTTCATGGGATTGCCATAAGTTGACAGGTGACTTGGAGGTTGTTGTTGTGTGCCTTCAAGTTGTTTTCAACTTATTGCAACCCTAGGGTGACCCTATCGCAGGGTTTTCTTGGCAGGATTTGCTCAGAGGAGGTTTGCCATTGCCTTCTTCTGAGGCTGAGCACAAGTGATTTGCCCAAGGATACCCAGTGTATTTTTATAACTGAGTGAGGAATCGCAGTCCAACACGGAAATCATTACACCACACTGGCTCTCACCTAACATACAAAAGAACTTTACAGACTAAATAAGTATAGACCATCCTATCATCATTTATTTGCATTAATGTATTTTGGAATAAGAGTCAGTTCTGCTGTTACAATGATGCAGTCATATTTTATATAAAGTCATCAATTCATGGTGTGATTTGTTTCAGCACAAATTAACAAACCTCAGTGCCTATTCAGTTAGCAAATTTTTAGCACTGCATTTTTTCCACCCCCTACCAGTTGATTGTTATGAATACTTTTTAAAGAACATTGTGCAACAGAACCTAAATGATAAAGGGCTTTAGTTCACATTTTAAATTAAATTTATAGAATTGATTTTAAAATGCTTTCAAAGTGATGGTATTGTTGTTGTTGTGTGCCTTCAAGCTGTTTCCAACTTATGGCAACCCTAAGGTGACCCTAACATGGGGTTTTCTTGACAAGATTTGTTCAGAGGAGGTTTGCCATTGCTTTTTCCTGAGGCTGAGAGAGTGTGACTTGCCCAAAGTCACCCAGTGGGATTCATGGGCAAGCTAGGAATTGAACCTTGGTTTCCAGAGTTGAAGTCCAATGCTCAAACCACTACGCCATACTGGCTCTCAAAAAGTAATGATATACATAGGTGAATTGTTTCTTCTTAAGAAGAAACTGTTATGCTTTTGGAAAACCGGCCGGCTAAGCAAGGGTGGGAACCAGGCTGCCACTGGGTTGCAGTTGCTCGGTGGCAAAGGCAGCAATTTAAGTGTGATAACATCTGCAATTAATCCAAAAAGTGACTATATCCCATTGGGGATAAATTGCTTTTTTTGGAGTGCAATAATCTCCTCAGACAAAACAAAACTGCTGTAGCCTTTTCTAGCTTGTATGTTCTTCCTCATTAAGGTTTTCCATCCTGACTACACTCTAATGTTGCTTGGTCACACATGTCCCAGTTTTCATCTGTGAAATGTTGCAGTGTATCGTATACATAAAAATAGCAAACTCCACAGTCTGGAACCTCCCTAAGGCCCCAGTCCTATGTATAGCCAATTGCACTTGACAATATGCTCCACTAAATTTAATGGAGTTTATTTATGAGTAAACTGGCATAGGATTGTCCTGTAAAAGTTACTTTGGGTCACTTTCAATTGGCATATGTTTATTTTTATTTACTTATATATTTCACTTCTATGCTGCCTTTCTCCCAGAAAGATACCCAAGGCAGCTCACAAATAAAAACAATTAAAAACTTTACAACAAATATTAAAAAAAACAATTAAAATCAACTAGCTAAGTACAGTATAAACTTACATAAACATACAAAAGTTAAAAATGTAACCACAGTTGCCCCTCCATTTTTGTGGGGGATCTGTTCCAGACACCACACCCGAGAAAATTGCAAATTGCAAATATTCAAGCACCATAGGCTTGAATGGCGGTGCATGCCCATGGGTGCCTGTGGGTGCACACCACAGGCGCATGCCCCATTTTGTCCCCCTCCATTTGCCACCTGTGAACAGGTGAGGGACATGGATACCACGTCTGCAAAAATGGAGGGGTAATGGTTGCCCGTATTTTTCGCCATATAAGACGCTCCGGCATATAAGATGCACCCA